ACTTTTGTCTTGCGTTTTTCTGAACGGTTTGTTATAAAGCAGAAATAGTTTTAAGCTTGTAAATGGCAGATAGTCTTTTAATCTTTTTTACCCAGACAGTTACCAGCTCCATCATGAATATGCAGCCATGGATTTCAGTATTTTTAAATGCATTGTTGATTTATTTCAATCTATGCTATTAGCTACACCCAGTGACCTCAACTTGGTAATTCAAACCCTCTGGGCTTTTCTGTGAAACAAGAGCTCCACGTAAAGCTGTGCTGAAAATTCTGATTTAATACTACAGTCCCTGTCAAAACCTGCAAAGGAGCTCAGCTGGCGCAACGGGGTTCTAGCGCGCGTCCTGCTCCAAGCCAACCAAGGAGGTCAGTGAGGATACTGAGGACACGGATCAAAGCAGCCGAGTTTTCAGACGTGCTGCGCTTAGTCTCAGGCTGATCAGAGAGGAGGAGTTCTACCACTCTCGAGTCATTTCAGGCAAGAAGTTTACTCCTTATTCCCTGCTTTATTTCTTGCACCATCGCGGGTAAGCTGCACCTTGGGTTTCCAGTTCCAAAGGGCAGATCCCTACCTCTTTAACTACGGGACCAAATCCAATATCTGGATGTGGTAACAGGGGAACATGGTCTTGGAAGTGTGGCTTCAGCATGCCTGGCTAATGCCTGAATTCATGGCTTACTTTTGGAAGGAGAGAAGACAGATTTTCTGCACTGAAGAAACAAACTGAGTAACATACGCCTAACAGGAAGACTTTGTTCCGTGGACTGTTAAGCATTTTTGAGATTCCCAGTGCCATGCGTGCTTAGCTTAGAAACCTCAGGTTGAAAACACTGATTTCAGTAAATAGAAGCGAAGGCTATTTTCAATTACAATTAACTGTAAAAGCTTCATCTGTAAGATACCAGTCTGGAAAGTCTCTGCAAACAGTAAATACTCGTAATATGAGTCAAAATGCCAGGCACAGAGGAACCGGTCCTCAGAGAGCTGAAGTACACGTGGTCCCTGGTACAACATTTGTTTATGACACTGCAGCAGTACACACTGAGCTTTCTGCCCGCAGCCACCGGCTCTACTCATCTTAGCAGTAAGACCGTGTAAATTCCAGGGCTTCTAACACGAGCCTTTCTGCATGCATTTGATCAGAACATGGAGCAACGTGTAGAATGCATTTTGGGTTAAAGAACAAGAAAAAGGCGAAGCAGCATTTAGGATTCAGACGTCTACAGCACTTCTACTATTGTGGATAAGACACTAAGGCCTTTTCAGCTGGCTTCTTAACACTGATGTGACAATGAAAGGAGGGAACTGGAAGAATCTGTATCCCTGGAGTTCACTGGCCATATCCTCTTCTGCCTAGCATTGATCTAAATGAAGGGGAGTGCCAGAGAGCTGGCAGATCCATGGTATGAAACAAGCACAGAGACAGGGGACTGATTTTATTTCAAAGCGTTTTCATTCCTCTCCACCCTTTTGTCTTCCTCCTCTGCTGATTGCTGTGGAGCAGCAGGGAGGGCTGCAAGTGAAATTATCCCTGAAGTGGGACCATTATCAGCTGTTCGTTTGGCTGGGGAAGGGAACACCGGCAGGCAGCTTGCAGCACCGGCTGCCACAGCAGGGATGAGGCAGAAGGAGCACGGCTGAGGCCAGGCACATGCAGGCCGGTGCACCAGTGCTCCTGGTAGGACTGGAGTCCAGTCTGGCAAAGCAGAAAACCCATCAGGTGTTGCCAGGCTCCTCTCTGAAGGCAAGTCCTTGTTCTGGAGGACCTCAGGGGAGATTTCATGTCTGTTACTTATGGCTGGAAGCAAAACTAACAACGCTCCAACACTAAATCATGTTTTTAGGACCTGCCCAAAGTATTAAGCATCTGACTCTGATGCTCATGCCAGTTAGCATCCTTTTGTCCCTACAATATTCTCTGCCAGGGAGGACTACAGAGATAGTCACTGTGAAATTGCCCTAACAATTTCTGGGGCAAATGATATTCCTCTATTCATAGCAGACAGGGCTAAACATGACACGTAGGTTGGTCCATCTACCCGGATCTTATGCCAGCACATGTTTACAAAGACTTTCCTAAATGACTACTAGTACTGATTTTGTTGAGCTTGACGCGCGAGATCTGGCTGGTTTACATTCACAGATGGATGAAGCCCCTCTGACAGACCTCTTCCCTTTCCTGTGAATGTTTTCAGAAAAGCAGTAAAAAAAAACATTCTTTTCAAGATACTCTGACAGAGAATGCCCCAGAGGGCCTTCCCTGACATCTTTTGCACTTAGTGATTCTCAGTAACACCAAACAACATGTGCTTACTAAATTCCAGCGGACTTAGTCAAGATTTGCATTTGATAGAGGCACCTGAGACTTCAGGCAATTTAATGTTTGTGTAAAATAAACAGTAAAACTATATGCTGGATCCAAAAAGCGTGACTCACAGTCTATGTAGGAAAGTACCAAAGACTTTGTGATGCACTGAGCATCACTTGCTGCAGTGGAAAAATAGTGAGGCTGGGCTCAGCAAGCACCCACACCGCTTCACAGATTTTGAAAAGTGACATGTGAGCCAAATTTGAAAAGCATGTACCTTACTTAATGATACTCTATAGAGATTTCCATTCTAGGGTTATAATTCAATGTTCATTTCTCTAAATCCTTTCTGTACCAGCAAAAGTTACTTGCCTTTATTGTTTCATAAACTACCATTGTAACGTATTCCCTTTCTCCTACTTCTTGACAGGTAGTAATAAAGTTCCACCACTCTTTGAGTGATTTTATTTGAAGGCTTTATTATATACATGTATATATAAATGCACACACACGAGAAATACACGCACACACATGGACAGCTATTTAATTTTAGGTGTTTCTAAATGGTGATCCCTGTGCCTAAATTCTTTGTTTCCCAAAGCCTTAACAACTTTGTTAAACCATCTTACCCATTTTTGGACTTCTGTGTAACAGGGTTTAGATTTTCACCTATGTAAGTTGTGAAGACAAAAATAGTTTGGATAAGCTAATTAAATAAAATTTCACATGACTCTTGAATAGCATTGAAATAGAATCCAGTTTCTTGGAGAAAGAGATTTTTACTTATTAAATTAAATACAGTCCAACTGGGCTCTTCTCGATCCCAAATAAGGTAAATAAAATTTGGGTAGCTGTCTTAAAGAAGTTGCCTTACTACATAGCCCTCAGTCATCACTGAAATAATGCTGCTTATCAGGATTATCAAACACAAATGGCAAAGCACAAAATGTTGCTCCTTATGTTTCAAAGCAGCTCAAAAGGAATGATTTATAAAAAAAATTGTCTCCAGAAAACTGGACTGAGATACATACATTCTTGCATCCTGCTGGGGGAGCTAGCATTTGCCTTTATTACTTTCTGGTTGTGATTCCAAAAGTACTCAGCGCTGACCTTGTTCTGATTCCTCTGGAGCTACCAGCAAAACTTTTGCTAGCTCAGAAAGAAAGTATTGATGTTGGTTGCTTTTTTAAAAGAGCTTATTACCTTGGTATTGCAAAAGCATTTGTCTTGAGCTGGCAAAGGTTAAAAGAAAACCCAATAACAGAACAAAACAGAATAACAACCAAGTCTTTTTCGTGTTGAAGTAATGATTCATAAAAGGCTACATACCAGCATTCCTTAACCTTCAAAGGCTTTATTAGTTCTGCTTAGAACTGATCATCACCAGCGATGAGATTTTTAATATGCAAATAAGATATCTGGCTGTGTTACAACTATGTCAGGTTTCCAGCCAGAAGGCAGAGGAGTTGAGCCTCAGCTCCGGAGCTGGCAGACCCAGGACAAGTGGAGTTTGGCAGGCTCCTGCAGGAAGCTGTGTCTCAAGTAGCTCTGCTCCTTATTTGAGGGTAGCAGGTGAGACATACAAAAGGAAGCTGTCCTTATGGAAAACAATTATACCATCAAACAATCAGTTAAAAATCAGTTGCTGCTTACAAATTATGGGGATTCATCCGATGGCCTCTACCCAGCGTTTTATGTTTTTGCTGAATTCCAAACATAGTACTGAAGGATTTAAATTCTTTCTTGGTTGTTGTGGCAGCTAGAGGCACAATCAGCGATTCATACATCCTTGAGGGACACCTCAGGATACTGCAAGCAAGCCAGAATGTTCCTTTAGCCAGAATGCCCAGAACAATGTCTGCTGTGGTATCACGCCTGACATCAGATACAAACTTCTTCCCAGCCTATACCTGAACTTCAACCTCAATACATCCTGAGGGTACTGTTTAATGGCATGGTAATCATTCTGAATGCACTTTGCTGTACCAGGGAATATTTAACCTAAACACTTCATATCGCTGGATCACTCATGAATTCACTATTGCTCCAAAAATCAGCAAAATACTACTGGAGGTGAGTAACTCTAGGGAATGGAAACAGACCAAACAGATTAATGAAATTATATAGATACTAGGAGTTTGAAAAAGAGAGCATTAAAACAGAGAACACACTAAAACCAGAAATATTGGCTGTATTCTGTTTCTTTACCAATACACACAACACAACAGGCTAGCTATTCCTTTGAGGTTCATTTCTTATCTAAAGTCAGAATAGCCGTGAGCTTGTACCATAATTACTCCAGCAGCTAATTATGATGCCATAGGCAGAACACTGTGACTCAAGGACCAGACTGAGCAGCAGGAACAAATGCAAAACAAACAATAACGTCTGTGCTACCACAGTAGCACAGTGGCTTTAGCAATAAATAGAAAAAAAGAATCTGCAGAAGAGAGAAAGCAGATGAGAGAAAATTCAGAAAATGCATGATGTTCACAAACATGCTCTACAAAGTGTTTTTAAGATTAGACTAAGTGTTCCCTATATGCAGCACACAAACTTTAAAGAATGCAATAGGTGGGGAAATTTACAAATACAATTCTCCATAACAGAGTATCAGGGAAAAACTTGTGGTCATATTTATACCGTGTCATGCTGTGCTGATGACAAGACAAAGAATTAAACTGGTACTTACATCCCGAGCTGCCATTCGTTGGAACCAAAGTGAAGTTGGAGGCCCAGGGGTTACGCACAATATCCTGCCAATGAATGGTGTCTGCGAAGCAAAGAAATTTGTTCTGGCCAACATACACCCCTCCATTCAGTATTTCTGCACAAAAGAACAAGAGAACATGGTTATAAAGCTTTAGACGTACAGCTAATTAGGTTTATTGCTGCTGTGTGTACTGGAGAGAGAGGGCACAACATTCAAATGCAAAGATTCTTATGGTAACCTCACCTAAGACTCTGAAAACCGGATGGCAAGTAACATACAGTATTTGTAAACAGGAACCGTTTATTTATACACCAAAGAAACCTGATGAAGACAGCCACACAACTGCTAGATGATTTACTGGGCTTACTTGTTGCTCCAGTGTAATCGTGTGTAAGGGTATTGTTATTCGTGGGTAAAATAACTCTCAAGATTTAACTGACTTTAAAAAGCACAAGCAGTCAATTGCACCATGCTGCATTGCATTAATACATATGGATACTTAAAGCACACAGTAAACTGATATGCTCTCCTGGGGTAGGAATTTTCTGATCTCAGAGTAAATAAGTAAGGAGGGTTCATTTGTCAGGATGTTTGGGAAAGCACCCTCCCTGACCACACTGCCCTGCTAGCCAGCTCTGCAGTCTACTCTCTTCTGCACTGGCTCACAAATTTTTTATATCAATGAATCACTATCAACCTTTAAAATTTCGTAGGACTCCCTTCTCATCAAACTTTTAGTCATAAATCCTATTTGAAAAGTCAGTACAGGGACCATGTTCTTCTATTAATCCCAGCCGTCCATCTATGCAGGTAATAGCGACAGAGCGAGTCAGGGCGACAATCACAGCCAAAGCAGGACCCAAACTCGCATCCTAACTTTTTTTAATGCTACAGCATCTATATTCCTTCTTCACAGAATGCAGGCATTTCAATTTCCTGCCTCTTCAGCCATGAATCTACTTTCTGAATGCCAAGACTGACCATGAGTAGTTTCAAAACTGCAAAAGGGACTCAAATTTAAACATGAAATGCCTGTTTTCCAAAGAAAACTTTTTTTTCTTTCTTTTTTTTTTTTTTTTTTAAGTTCCCTCTTCCCAAATACTGTGATCCCAAACCCCCACTAGCACATCTTGCTGGGAGCTTTGCATCTGAGGGAGACCAATTCTGAGCAGATGGAAGTTCCCATGATATACCCTAACTGGAAAGGTGTAGGCCATCACAAATCGGGGTGGTTTCTTTGAAGGAAATTTTAAAATTTGATAAATACGGAAAGATATTAGTGACCATTCCTCTATTTCAATGTGTATTTTCTTTCCTTTTTTTTCTAAATCATGTTTATCATGGTTATATCAGTTGGCTTTTAAAAAATGGCTTGTTGCCCTACCTCGAAGACTTCATTTGTCAAATCTCAACATAAAAATGATCTTATGGTTGTTAGATGTAGCACTGGGGTCTCCTTTGGAGCAGTAACGTTTTTTTCTTCACCCTCTACACTCTTGTTCATATTCAGCATTCCTCTTTTTAACCTGGCTCCTTTACTTCCAAAGCAGAGGATAATCCTTGTGTCTTTCATTGAGGTTAACAGGAGCAATGCAGCTAAAACCTCACACACCACTTAGTGTCAGAGATTCCAGCCTCAGCTAAGAAATGTTGAAGGTTAGCTACTAATGGCACTTTGCAATGACATTAAGTGGTGCTATACAGCCAGGAGTGTCACACTTCTTACAGAGACATTTAGAGTGAATCTTGACTACCAGTGGCAATGACTAGGTTGTCTGATAGTCCTCACCTCCCACAAAAACCTTTAAAAGCTGTAGAGGGAATACCGAATACCAACACTGACAAACAAGTAAGGAATGACTGTGTTTTTCTTTTAACATTTGAGTTTACAGCATGTGGAGGAGGTAGCCCCTAAGAAAAGAATTATTAAATAAAGGATCATCTGTAAATACATCTTTCCACCATATTAATCAGTTCACAGCATTAATACCTATTTCTGAGAAACCTCTGGTTTAAAAGCTTGGCTTTTCATTGAAAAGGGGCTTAAAACCAAAACCTATAATAATAATCTCGTACAGAAGAGAGTCCACATCAGAGATAAAGCAATGATCTGTCTGTATGATATTCTTATGATCCCCGAAGAAAAAAAAAAAACAACCCCGTACAGCATCTGTTCACAATTCTGCTCAGGGGAAAAAGTGGGACTCAGAAGCACACTTGAAAACATGATTAGTGATGATTTCTCTGTGTCGTCCCAGCTACACAGGATTAGCTAATCCATGATGGCCCAGATTTTGATTAAAAATAACATCTAACAAGCCATGAAAAACTGAGAAATCTACATTCAGAGCTTCTTAACCACTTGCACATGATTCCAAATAGTGTCACTATCAGTTGGTACATCTGAACACCTGCCGCTGGCATAATTTCTGCTTTTTAGAGCATTCACTCATGACAATACCTATCAAATTTTCTCTTTTCTCCAAGGAACTTTGATGTATTCTTGTATATCAGGCACCATCTCACTCTAAAAATAATTCTAATAGTTTCAGTTTGTGGAGAAATATGTTTTTCAGCATAAAAGTGACCAGAAACTGACCCCTCTTTACTGGAAGCTTTCCTTGTGGTTTACTAGGAGCAAACATGGGAAATGCTCTGACTTCCCTCATCACTGACTAAGAAGCATCGTACCTGTTGTTTGAGTCACAAAACCTGATGTGATGTATTTTTCCCAAACAGTACCATTTTTTACAGGTGACAGGATTAAAGTTTACAGGTCTATTCACGTGGTGATGTTCTGAGAAACCTGGGCTCTTACAGATTTATTAAATAACCAGGAACTCAACGTTTAGTACAATCCTTAAGGTGCTTTTGCTCAACGCTTCCCATTCTGTTGGATCCAAATCCAGTTTCCTTCTGCCTTCCTTCCCCACTTGCTATTCCACTTTGCTTTATGCAGAGTCCTCGGCATGTGTAAATCAGCACAGATGTATTGGCTACACTGAATTAACAAACTCAAATGCATTTTGCACTTCTCTGCCCTCTCTTAGCAAGAACAATGCCTGGAAAGACCTAATAAACCCCATTACATGTTAAGCAAATGAAGCACAAATGTAATCAATATACAATAGAGTTACTGTATAATGAACTCATCATCATAAAGTCATCATCTCCTTTTAATTTACAGCACTGCAAGCGAGAGATAAAGTTAAACAATAAACAGGAGGAGAAAGGCAGGGATCTCTGACTACGCAGCTGAGCTAGGGAACAAAGCCAGCAGAAGAGCACTTCCTTCTCACACAACAGCAGAGGAGCCTTCCTGCCTTCAGACGCTGCAGGAGGAACCAGAACAAATCTACCACTGGATTTTCTGATTTCTCCTGCAAAGAAAGAAGCCAGTTCCTGCCCAGAAGCACAAAAAAGGAACAATTTGCAGTGATATATACCTTAAGTATCATTCTAGGGACAGTATTTTTGTCTTCTAACACATTTTTTGTGACTTTGGAGGACTGCTAATCTAAGTCCACCACCGCTGCCTGGGATGGACGGCAGGCAGAGCACTCAGCTCTAGAAACTGCTGCCTGAAATACCACCTGCTGTCTGCAAATGTTACCTTAGGGCTTCCTCACTTCTTGAGGACATAGAGTTATAAAGGGGCGTTTTGAAGCACAGGTCCTACTGGCTTTCATTGGGAAAGGAGCTCCCAGAGGTGGCAGATGATTCTGGAAGCCTTCTTTCTAAGCTCCTGATAGCCACACTTGAGTCTCACCACCTCCCATTTTGGCACCGAAGCTGCAGCTGGTGCTCTGAACAAAGGAGTAGCTCCAAGGTCTTTTGCCACTTGGTTCTGAAGTGAATGTAAAATCTTATCATCTTCCTTATTAGAGCTACTTCCCTGGCTTAAAAGCAGTATAATTCTGTCACCCAAGTTATGTGAAAATAAAGCAGCAAATGCACTTGCCACTGACTTGTGCCATTATTTTGCTTACTGTGTGGAGAGCTGCCAAATGATTCTGGGGAACTTACATCTGCATATTATTAGAATTCTATTAAATGGTCATTTATCCAGAGACTTGAATCAGAAATGCATTAACTATTTTATCTGTTATTTCCATGCTTCCATTAGCCAAGTGATGAAGCAGAGCTATTACCACATAACTGTGGTAGCCTACCATACAATACCTAAAATACTGACACCAGAGCAGTGATACATACAGGTCTCTGGCAGTCATCAAACATGAGTATCTTACATTTCCCATAAAGTGACAAGCAACATGGAGAGATACAGCATGTACAACTCACACTTAGTCTGCTAAGTTCAAAAAGGGGCAAAGCCCATAGCATTTGTTGCAATGAGATGAAGGGTTTGGGTGGGGTCAGTGAAACGGGGGTTATCAGCCACCAGAAGCTTAAGATCATTGTAAATAAGACAAAAAGACAGTAGCTCTGCATGTGCTTTGTCTGTTTAGACCAGACATGGAGAAAACTTTTATTCATCCATTTGTCAAAAGGGCATTTTCTTCAGCTTCTTTTTTCTTCTGTACAGTGTAATCCCTCAGGGTCTGTTATCTAACTTCTAACGTGGATTAAATTGGCAAAACATGTTCACATTCTGCAATGTATCTTTAAGTGCAAATAACTTGCACGTTGATCTGACGTGGGGGCTGTTGGCAATTATTTCACAACATAATCTGGTTCTAAAATTGTTCTAAAATTGGTTATAAAATTGCTACTGCAGCTGAAGGTTACAAATTAAAAGCTCCTCTCCAGGGGTATGAAGCCAGCAGCCACCATGAACTGGAAGAAGGCACAGAGAGAGGGAAAAGAACTAGCTCCAAGGTGGGCAGAGAAAGGGGAAGGAGCTGATAAGGAGCCCTGTTATGAACATCCACTATAACTACCTCAAAAGCAAAACAGAAGATACCTGACACTTTTCCACAGTGATTGTCTGCTAAGAAAACAGCTGTCTGTTACACTACACCGTACACAGGTGTACCCTGCACATACCTATAATATAAGGCACGTTGGCGATACCTTAATTTCCAAGGTCAGACTCTGTTAGAGCTGAGACATCTTTGCATGCTGGCAGTGCTTCCCCACCAGCAGCCAGATGA